CCTAAGGCACTGGACTGCTAACCAGAAGGCTAGTGGTTCAAACCCACCAGCCACTCCTCGGAAGGAAGGTTGGGCAATCCTACTTCCGTAGTGATACTGCTTCGGAAACCCAAGGAGGGGTCGCTATGAGTCGGGGCCGACTCGACGGCAAATAACAACATAACAAAGTTGTTCAGTATTCACGTAGAGTACTTAAACGTAAAGCATTAAAGGAATGTCTGAAGTACCAGAGGTAGAAAAAACGTCTCCATTGACATCAATATGCTGGAGGAGGAATTGCTCTATATCTGGAATTGATGTTACTAATGGTTTTCTGCTGTCAGCACTTCCAGAGGCTTGTATAAGTCACACTGGAGTAGTCCTCTGGTTGTTAGGATGGTAACTGTAGAATGTTTCTTCTGAACTCCATTATTTTATATTCTTCCTTACTTGTTAAGAAAAACTGATGCAGAGTAGAAAAGCTGACAATTCAGAAGTCATACTGCTATTTTCATGATTTTAACTTCAATTCCATTCTTTTTTTTTTTTTTAACTTTCAATTGTGCTCTGTAAGAATACAGTCAGATACTGCATTGCCAATAGAATTAAATCCTTTAGTTTATGAACTTTTGCTTCTCTGTCCTTCTCACCCTTTATCCTTGTTTTAGAGATAATACATCTCATAGCAATGAGCATCAGTAGTTTCCATAGTCTCAAGAAGACACCCTTCTTCAATGCATTTGTATTTGTTTTCATGAGAATAAAATATTATAGATAGAATCATGTTCTCTGATGAGGTAGATGATCATGAATGACATAAAATGCAAGATTCACATTTATAAGTCTTTTTCATTTACTGAAAAATAGAACATATAGTAGCTTTCACAGCTACTTAAATTTTTGTCAAGAGACATGTATTTAAACATTTGTGTAAACATAGTACTGATTTTTTTTTAACCACTCTGGTAATAGACTAAAATTCAATATTTTCCTGATATAATTTAGAATATGAAATTCAACACTTACTGCCTTTCTGTAGAAATTATTCTGACAAGATCAGTTCTAACTTGTTACCTG